GTGTATAATGATGTGATTGTGATGCTGTAATTCTGAGTGTTTTATGTGCTGCAGAACAGGAACCTGCTGTAAAACAGCAATTATGCTGAGTCAGGCTTGAGTTTTAATAATCTTTTCCTGTTAAATAAATAAATCAAATCAAATACCTCGTATCTAGACTGTGTTTTTGATTACTTTCAGCTAGTCTGTTAGCTAAAATCTTCATTGTTTAATTGTCTTACCCCATGATTTACTTATGTAACTGTAACTCTCCCCTCCTCCCTGTGGTTTCAGTGCCAACCGGGCTGCCTCACCATTCGGATCCGAACGGTTCTGAGTGTTTTCCTGGTTCTGCTCACCTACTCTGTCACTCAGGCCTGTGTGGTAAGTCTTCACTAAAACTTGCCTGGACTTTTTACAGGTTGGCATGTGAGCAGAACTAAATATAGCGGAAGCTAATTGGTCCGCTAACAGTTAGCTAAAATGCTAATCCACTAAATGAAACGTTAGCTCCGCTATTATCTGTTAGCGGATTAGCATGTGCCAGTCAAAGACAGTCTCCAAACTGCTTAATGTTCCTGCAGCTGCTCTGATTATTCAGAAGGTCCACAGTACTGGAGACGACCTGCCTGGACGTGTCCCCGAGAGGACAGCTGATGACAAACTGAAGACACTTTAAAGTGCCTGTGACATTAAATTCAAGTGATTATATCTGAGTGCATATTCGGAAAGGTAACAGTCATGATGAGTTGCAAACAAAACCTCACGACACCGAAATGAACAGTTGTTGAGATATTCGTATGAACAGAAACAGGAAGTGATGTCAACGGGGAATGCCTGAATAAGTTGCTACAATGGCTAACAACAGACTGCAGAGAATCAGATGTTTCTGTAGATTATTTTSAGTCATTATCAGATAAAGAAGAGCCAGGTTTATAAAGACCAGGAAGTTACCATTTTTTAAAAGAGTTCCCCTTTGACATCACTTCCTGTTTCACTTGGACTGCACCAAATTTAGTAAAAAAAAATGCACTGGGTAAAAATCAAATGAACGATGACAAATTTCTAAATTATTGGGATATTTTCTTTAATTCTCTGTAATTGAAGAAGAAGCATGTCACTTTAAAGCACCCGCTTCKGATGTTATCGTCCATGAAATGGACATTATTAGGCGTTATCAGTCCCATAGAATGGCTTCCGATTGTCAGCTGGTTAGTATGATGCATAAAGCCACTATCTGGTTAATATGACGCATAAAACCACTAAGGTTAACTTTAGAGAAAATGACATGTTAGCGCTAAAGACACCGCCTTCCAATGGTTGTATATTGTGACCTTCGAATATGGCAATGGGTAGAGTGTCTGCCCAGAGACTGGGAGACCAGGCCTCCAGACAGACAGGACCAAAAATTTATTAAAATATGTTTTGGTTATTTACACATTCATTGTCATTGATATATTAACCCACTAGGGGGCACTGTCGCCACAGTCTGAAGGCTAGAAGGCACAGTAGGGACCCTCTGAAGCCATTGTATGGGACTGATAACGCCTAATAACGTCCATTTCATGGACTGATAATATCAGAATCTCCTGCTTTAAAACAACCATCTCTGTTGTATTGTGTCCCTCCAGGTGGGTTGTGTCCCGTGGGGACGGGTTTTGACGAACTCCAGCCGTCTTGTGGAGGACATCCCTCCCAGGTCCGGACCCGCTAACAACGATGATAACAACAGCTCCGCCGCAGCAGCAGCGGGGGGGCGGGCCGGTCCCAGCGTAGGGTACGCCCTGTTGTCCTGCATAGCCGGCACCCTCACCGTGGTCCCTTACCTCCGGGTGTCCTCGCTCCCCAAGATCCTGCTGCTGCTCCTCCTCTCCGTCACCTACACAGTCGTCATGGAAACCAGCGGCTACCGTCAGGCTGTGGGGTGAGACTGCATGTGTGTGCGTTAGCATCTTTATTTAGCTCTGAACCAAAGATTGTGCCTCATTTATTTATTTTTTATGTTTTGTCGTTCAATCACTGCAAACAAGCAGTGGTGGGTGTGGCTATGCTAATAGGCTAACAGCTAATAGCATAACTAATCGTTCATTTAGAGGATTTTCATTTAGAGGACCGGATAACTTCTAATAAATTAGGTTTTGCCAACTTTAAGTCCTCTAACAGTTAACTAGCACTGGAATAAATAGGTTGTATCTAAAGGCTAGGTATAGTCTATAGCCACCTTGTGGTGAGCATGGTTATGCTAATAAGCTAACAGCGGAAATAAGTTTTCATTAGCAGATTAGCTTTTTTACTAACTTTGAAAACCGTTAACAGACCAATTAGCTTTTGCTAAATATGGTTTTGTCAACTTTAAGTATGCTAACAGCTAATTAGCAAGCTAATATCAACAGCTCGCAGACTGACAGTTGTCTTAGCGATTAGCTATAAGTGTTAGCATCTGCTAATTTTTTTTACCTGTTTAGCATTACTCTGATATGATTGATACTCTGATATGGCTGCTACAGTTGTTGTTTTTTTCACATTTTTTTAAATCTTATTTTATCTTTTTAATTCTTTTTCTACCTCTATCTTTTTTAATGTTGTGATTTATTTGCTACTATTTTTTTTTACATTTTTTCTTATTTTATATTACTTTTTAATTTTTTTTCCCTCTTATTTTATCTTTTTAATTCTTTTTCTACCTCTATCTTTTTTAATGTTGTGATTTATTTGCTACTATTTTTTTTTACATTTTTTCTTATTTTATATTACTTTTTAATTTTTTTTCCCTCTTATTTTATCTTTTTTAATGTTCTGATTTATTTGCTCTACGGGAGCTGCAAAAATGATCTCGTTCATTGTCTGTGGACCGCAGTGTTGTTTTCAGTGCAGCAATGACAATAAAGATTTATCTATCTATCTATTAGCTTCTATTAATTTCTAATTGTTTAGCGTTGGCTTCCAGTAATATGTTTTATACAGTATATTTAGCTTTAGCAAAGCTACATTTTCAGTCAGCGTATTATGAGTTAGCTAAGCTAACCTTTTAGTTAGCTGTGCTCGCTCAGTAACAAACAGACATAAAACGTGTTTTTAAACGTCTCTTTTTGTTTTTCTCACAGGGGAGGCTTCCTGCACACGCGGGGCTACGATCCGGTCCTGGCCGTGGTCCTGTTTTCTGGAGCTCTGGCTCTTCACTCCAGACAGCTGGACCTGAAGCTGCGGCTCGATTATCTCTGGGCCACTCAGGTGAGGAACGAAGACCTGGACCTGTGAAACCTGGAGACCAGAGTTAAACTCTGTTTTACATTGTTCAGCACTTTATTTTTGTATTAAATAAGAGTTTATTTAAGCTCAGCTGCAAAATCAGTTTCTAATTTGATGTTAAAAAGAAAAATATATTGCAGTTTTAGTCCAAATTAAGATTTTCTGAGTCATTAATTTAAGAAAATATTTTCAAAGGAAATAAATTGTTGGTTAAATCAGCACAAATCTGTTTAAAGCTGTGGTTGTTTTGTCAAAAAAAGTCACATTGAATTTACAGAAACTTATTAAC